AGAGAGAGAGAGAGAGAGAGAGAGAGAGAGAGAGAGAGAGAGAGAGAGGTTGCCAAGCATGATTGTCAGACCGTTCGTAGGGATAACGGCAGAAGGAAGAGGTACAAGAAAAGGGGAAGAGCAGAAAAGGAAATGATATGCCCATTTGGTTGCTTTTCCTCCATGTCTGTCACTTGACGAGAAAAGGCATGGTGGGTTAGGGCCCTACGGTGTGGGAGTGTGGAGCCTTTGACGAGAAAAGGCATGGTGGGTTAGGGTCCTATGATGTGGGAGTGTGGAGCCTTATTAGTTGCACAATATGTAGAAGGAAATGGCTGGCTTGGGGGGAGCCCTGAACATGGTTTGGGAGGGTTGCTTGGAAGTAGGCTTCGTGATCTTCTCTTGCTTAGCCTCTGAGAGAGAGAGAGAGAGAGAGAGAGAGAGAGAGAGAGAGAGAGAGAGAGAGAGAGAGAGAGAGAGAGAGAGAGAGAGAGGCCATCGGGAAAGATTGTCAGACCATTCATAGGGGTAATGGCAGCAGGAAGGAGTACAAGAAAAGGGGAGGAACAGAAAGGAAGTGGTGTGCCAACTTGGTTGCTTTTTCTCCATGTCTGTCAGATGACAAGAAAAGGCATGGTGGGCAATGGAAAACTCGCATAGTCCTCTGCCTCTGTACCGCACTTCATGGGTGAATCCAGGTGAATGATCTCTGCTGGGATGCAAACAAGCCCAGTTTCATGCTCAGGCCCGTTTGTGCAAATGAGGCGGTGCAATAAGGCATACGTGCAATTGTTACGGAAATGAAAGAAAGGAAAGGAATGTGGACCTCATCATCCTCATGATCCTGAGATTAGAGATTGGGTCTATGGTTTCATAATGCATTCCCTCAGCATCTCTCTCGCTTTCCCTTCTCTCTCCCTCTTTTCACCTTTCCGCTGTTCCTTCGGTCGTCTCCTTGTGCCCTTGCGAGATCGCCCTCTCTCTCTCTCTCTCTCTGTGTGTGTGTGTGTGTGTGTGTGTGTGTGTGTGTGTGTGTGTGTGTCTCCCCCTCTCCACCCCACCCTCTCTCTCTGTCTCTCCCTCTTGACGGTAGGCTTTCAAAATCCTAGTAGCATTCCTGTCGGAATTTATGTTGATGTCTGCACTATGCTGGCACAGACCATGTATATGGCCATCTGTACCATGTGGGGACAATCTTACGGGTTCCTGTAGGGTTTCCGAGAGTCCACTGAGCTTGTGTAGTATTCACTCACTGTCTCCCTCTGTCAGGAACATTGGTGTTTTGTCGCTCATTTGCTCTCTTAGTTTTTTTCTTTTCTGTCGAGGATCTTTGTACATTTTTAGGTTCTTTTAGTTGTTAGCCGTTTGGAGTTGGCTTCTGCCAGTGTTGGCTTGGAAGGGGGCGGTCAGAGGCAAGGTTTTGGCCACTAGACCTAATGTATGACATCTGGGGAGAGGGAGATTATGGGGGGTCGTTGGTTCCATCGCGGCATCGCCCCCTGCTTTCCCTATTTCCTCCCGCCCCCCATTCAGTCCTCGGGGGGTTAACTTATGGGCTGAAAAAGGGGGTTCCCCGTTAACCACTTGTGCCTGCATGTTGCTTACTCCATGTTTCACTGACCGTCTCCAACACTCTGTTCTTTTTTTTTTTCCTTTCCCCCCAGCGGTCTGAGATCGCATAAGCTCCTTCCCCATTGTCTCCTTCGGCTGTACCTATGCGGAAAGACTATAGCATGGCCATTTTCACCACCCAAGGACTCTCTCAATGGCTATTGTGATGAACCAGTAGAGTATAACATGGCTATTCTAACCACCGTCCAAGCGGTCTTCCAATGGCCATTGCCCATTCTCATGAGCCAAGCCTTCCTACTCCCAAGGCCAGGGTCGACCTTCTTGAGTGAGATCGACGGACCAATGGTGCCAACTGAGCTCAGGCTTCAGCTGTGCTATTTGATGCTTGGGAAGCTTGATCCTGAGCGTGCGGTCAACGGGGGTCATTACTTCTAAGCAAGCGCATAGGACCATTGTGGTCTGCCCCCTTACAAGTCGTGAGCATTCCTCTCCCAAGGAAGCCTTCCTTCGGACCATTCGGCATGTTTGGCCGGCCAAGACATCGTGTCACGTTGTCGTGGTGGGAGACGAGAGAGGGGGAGGGGAAGGAAGGGGGGTGAAGGGTTGAAAGGATGTGGACGACCCAAGGAGGTCGCGTAAGGGGAATGCCAAAGTGGAGAGGAGAAGAGGAATGGTTGGGTGAGCAAGTAACAGAATCGATTACATAATCGGTTCTATTTTGGCTTGCATGAAACGCAGCATTCACTCACACAGTCTCTCTCTCTCTCTCTCTCTCTCTCTCTCTCTCTCTCTCTCTCTCTCTCTCTCTCT